CATAATAACCATCATACTACTACGAATAATAAAAAGAATAATGGCACAAATCAAAAGAAAAGGAGGAAGGAGAGGAGGAGGAGGAAACGGAGGCGGCGAAGGAGGCGGAGGGGGCTGAGGAGGAGGAGGAGGCATAGGATGATGAGGAGGAGGCGGAGGAGGAGGGAGGGGCGTAGGACGATGAGGAGGAGGAGGAAGAGGAGGATGCTGCTGCTGCTGATGATGATGACGCTGATGATGCTGATGATGATGCCGATACTGCTGATTATGACGAGGGTGCTCATTATGGTGATGATGTTGCTGATGATGATGGTGATGATGATGCTGATGATGATGCTGCTGGTGGTGGTGGTGGTAAGGATGATGACGCTGGTGATGCTGTTGATGATGCCGCTGATGATGACGATGATGTCGATGATGATGGTGATGATGACGATGATGATGATGCTGATGATGATGAGGCTGATGCTGCTGATGGTGCAGATGCTGATGCTGATGATGATGGTGATGATGCTGATGGCGATGATGATGGTGCTGATGCTGATGATGGTGATGGTGATGGTGATGATGATGTTGGTGATGAACATGATGATGACCATGCTGATGCTGAGTGTGATGATTATGATGTTGATGGTGATGGTGATTCTGATGATGATGGCGATGAACACGGTGATGATCATGATGATGCTGATTGTGATGATGATGATGCTGTTGGTGATGATGATGAGATTCTGATACTGCTGATGCTGATGCTGATGCTGATGCTGATGCTGATGAGGGTGATGATGGTGGTGACGACGATGATGCTGATGATGATGCTGCTGATGCTGATGATGATACGAATGCTGATGATGATGACGATGATGCTGATGATGAGGCTGAGGATGAGGAGGGATGATGATGACGATGATGATGATGATGATGATGATGATGGTGGTGGTGATGCTGATGATGACGAACACGATACTGATTATGATGATGATGATGATGATGGTGGTGGTGGTGATGCTGATGATGATGATAATGATGATGTTGCTGATGATGATGATGCTGATGATGCTGATGCTGCTGCTGATGATGATGATGATGATGACGATGCTGATGTTGATGATGCTGATGCTGCTGATAATAATAACAACGATGACGATGATGATGACGATGATGATGATGATGATGCTGATGATGATGATGATGATGTTGATGCTGATGATGCTGATGATGATGATGATGATGATGATGATGATGCTGATGATGATGATGATGATGATGATGATGATGATGATGATGATGAGATGATGATGATGATGATGATGATGATATGATGACGGCGATGATGACGGATGATGATGTGGAGGTGAGGGGGAGGAGAGGGAGGTGGAGGGGGGGAGGGGGAGGAGGAGGAGGGGAGGGAGGAGAGGAGGAGGAGGAGGGAGACGCGCCGATGGAGAGAGGCGAGGGATGTAGGAGGAGTAGGAGGAGGAGGAGGAGGAGGCGAAGGAGGAGGAGGGAGGAGGAGGGAGAGGAGGAGGAGTAGGAGCAGGAGCAGGGAGGAGAGGAGGAGGGGAGGTAGGAGGAGGAGGAGGAGGAGGGCGGAAGGAGGAGGGAGGAGGGAGGCGGAGGAGGGAGGAGGGAGGAGGAAGGAGGAGGGAGGAGAGAGGAGGCGGAGAGGAGGGAGGAGGAGGGAGGAGGGAGGAGGGAGGAGGAGGATTTGGAGGCGCAGGAGGAGGAGGAGGAGGAGGAGGAGGAGGAGGATGTAGAGGACAACCAAGGGGCGAGGATGGGGGAGGGGGAGGACACGCAGGGGCAATCGTATTGCTAGGCCTTGTAAAGTGCAACATGCTGTCGTCGTCGCCCCTTGGCGAACTTGTCGTCATTGTCGCCGTCGTCATCGTCGTCGTCCTCGTCCTCGTCGTTGTCGTCGCCGTCGCCGTCGTCGTCATCGTCGTCTCCCTCTTCTGGCACCCACGTGCTCCGCAATCCTCCTCTGCCTCTACCTCTTCCTTTTCCCGTTCCTCCTCGTCAGCCTTTCTGCTCTACCTCGTCCTTGTGCTCCTTCTGTCTGTGTACCACCAACGGCAAGGTCCATTAGAGGGGGCCTCCAACCTCGGGCCCGAATGTCGTTTTGTTTCGCTTTCTCCTCCTGGTCACCCTCCCTCCTCATACCTTATCTTCCTCTTCGCTCCTTCGTCATGCCGTCTCCTCCCCTTGCTCACCTTTTTTCTTTTTCCTCCCCTTCATCCCCCTCTTTTTTCCACTTGTTCCCCTCCCCTTGAAACGCACATGTTCCTTTTGACGCAGGATCCAACCTTGTGTTGCCCCCCCCTCTCTCCCTCCTCCATGCTCTCCTTCGATTCCTTCCTCCTCCGCCTTCGCCCACTTCTTCTCCTGCCTCCTGCCTGTCCCCTCCTTCACATCCTTGTCCCTCCATCCCTCCCTCCCTTCCTCCCTCCATCCCTCCGCCGCCTCCTCGTTTTCCTCCTCCTCCTCCTTCCGTAGCCATTTTGGCTCAAGCCATTTTGGCTCAAGGCCTCGTTCGAGCGATCTCGGGCCTTCAGGGGGCACACGTTTCGGCGTTCCCTCCAGAAGCACCCTCATGTCCCGTGTCACTCCGTGCCCACCTCAGGCTTCCTGCGGCATGGCCGACGACGATGACGTCGACGTCGTCTCTGACCTCAACGACGAGTTTGCCGATCGACCATCAACTCTTCACCAGCCTCGCCTGCACCACCGACTCCTGGTCCATCGCAGTCTGGTAGCTACTCGGGTGACATCATGGCACTACTGCAGAACATGAACGCCACGCTCGCGAACGTTGCCACCAAGCAGGGCATCAACAACCTCAGGGACCAGGTTGCCGCCCATGACGCGAAGTTCAAGACCTTAGAGACCCAGGTCGTCAAAATCCAGAACGGCGCGTGTGAGAAGATCACCGCTGCCGTCGAAGCATCCATCCTCGCCAAGCTCGAGAGTAGGCTCGCGACCTGCGAGTCTGCTGCATCTACTATCTCACGCTCTTCCCGCAGTACGCTTTCAAGTTTGAGCAGCTCAGCCTCGGTGGGCACCGGTGGTCACAAGCGTCGCGCAGTTGGTGAAGTGCCCAGCCCTCTTCCCTCAGGTGATGATGCTGACAAATGCAAGATATGGATCATTGGTTTTCCTCGCCGTGCTCTTGCTCGTGTGCTCCAGGCCCACTCTGCTTCGGCTCTCCACGCACTCCCTGCACATCAAAGCCAGGGCGCCGAAGTGACGGCCAGAAACATGCAAATTAGCTAGTCGATTCGATTCACCTCCACCGACATTGCCAGCGCTGTGCTCGACTCTCTGAAGCAGGGCGGCATCTCGTGGCAAGACCTCCGCACTCAGCGTCTCGTCCAACTCCGCAGCGGGCTTGATGCCAGCCAGGACATCTGGAACCGCCACAAGCTCCTCGGTCGTCTGTGGCAGTCCTTCCTCACGCACATGAAGGAGCAGGGGATCTGGAAGGCCGAGTTCCGCTTCGGCTGCAGCGGCCAGCGCGGCCTCTTGTTCCTGCTCTTCGGCGCCGATGATGTCGAAGTCCTGGCCACCCTCATCGAGCGCGGCGACGACTCCTACGCGTTCGAGATGAAGCACGGCAGCCTCGCCCCGTTCGGGGTCGACCGTAGCGCGACCGACGAGATCGCTGCAGCATCTCTGCCGTAGGGGTCGACTCTATCCTTGCAGGCACAAGCGAGGGATATCTCCGAGAGAGGCTCTGAGTGCCCCGACGAGTCTCCTGGGGTGTGCAGGCGCAGACGCGCGGGGCGTGCTTCGTCGCCTTCTTATTTTTCCAGCTGCCGCTCTTCCTCTTCCCCCTCTGCTTCTCCCCCCCGCTCTTCTTCCAGTTCGCATTCGGGCCCCGGGGATCTCCCCAGCCCCGAGGATCTTCCCGACCCCGGGGATGTCGCCCCCGTCGAGGCTTCGGAAAAATTCAGCATTGCTTCCTGGAGTGTTCACCGAACGCTCAGTTCTCGTTGGTCAAATCACGCCCTTTGCAAGAAGATAATCGAATTCATACAGCGACTTATTTCCCGTCAGCATGTGGTTTGTCGCCAAGAAACCAGGGGTTCCCGAAAGGAACTCGACCTCCTCCTCCGCAGAATGCACTGCGCGCGCGGCTTCGGCATTTATTGCTCATGAGCGCGATGCAGGCGGCTGCGCCACGACGAGGGCGCGCGCGCCATGTTCTTCTTTCAGGTGACCCAGCGAAAGAGAGTAGACAGGAATGTTCTCAGTCGCTTCAGGTCATGAACATTCATGGCGCGCCCGCCATCCCCGCCCCTGATCAGAACTATTTTTGGACTCCCTTTCTCTGGCGCTGCATCCTGGTTCTCGCGTTGCCAGTTTTGTGGCTGGTGATTGGGACTTCTGCTGCGAGGGGGAAGGGCCTCAACGTGCTTCACGTCGACTCAATCCTGCTAGGCCAGATATCGCAAGGCACGCGGCGAGGCGCGCCACGCTCGCGAACGTTGCCACCAAGCAGGACATCAACAACCTCAGGGACCAGGTTGCCGCCCATGACGCGAAGTTGAAGACCTTAGAGACCCAGGTCGTCAAAATCCAGAACGGCGCGTGTGAGAAGATCGCCGCTGCCGTCGAGGCATCCATCCTCGCCAAGCTCGAGAGTCGGCTCGCGACCTGCGCGTCTGCTGCATCTACTATCTCACGCTCTTCCCGCAGTACGCTTTCAAGTTTGAGCAGCTCAGCCTCGGCGGGCACCGGTGGTCACAAGCGTCGCGCAGTTGGTGAAGTGCCCAGCCCTCTTCCCTCAGGTGATGATGCTGACAAATGCAAGATATGGATCATTGGCTTTCCTCGCCGCGTTCTTGCTCGTGTGCTCCAGGCCCACTCTGCTTCGGCTCTCCACGCACTCCCTGCGCATCAAAGCCAGGGCGCCGAAGTGACGGCCAGAAACATGCAGATTAGCTAGTCGATTCGATTCACCTCCACCGACATTGCCAGCGCTGCTCGACTCTCTGAAGCAGGGGCGGCATCTCGTGGCAAGACCTCCGCACTCAGCGTCTCGTCCAACTCCGCAGCGGGCTTGATGCCAGCCAGGACATCAGGAACCGCCACAAGCTCCTCGGTCGTCTGTGGCAGTCCTTCCTCACGCACAGGAAGGAGCAGGGGATCTGGAAGGCCGAGTTCCGCTTCGGCTGCAGCGGCCAGCGCGGCCTCTTGTTCCTGCTCTTCGGCGCCGATGATGTCGAAGTCCTGGCCACCCTCATCGAGCGCGGCGACGACTCCTACGCGTTCGAGATGAAGCACGGCAGCCTCGCCCCGTTCGGGGTCGACCGTAGCGCGACCGACGAGATCGCTGCAGCATCTCTGCCATAGGGGTCGACTCTATCCTTGCAGGCACAAGCGAGGGATATCTCCGAGAGAGGCTCTGAGTGCCCCGACGAGTCTCCTGGGGTGTGCAGGCGCAGACGCGCGGGGCGTGCTTCGTCGCCTTCTTATTTTTCCAGCTGCCGCTCTTCCTCTTCCCCCTCTGCTTCTCCCCCCCGCTCTTCTTTCAGTTCGTATTCGGGCCCCGAGGATTTCCCCGGCCCCGGGGATCTTCCCGACCCCGAGGATTTCGCCCCCGTCGAGGCTTCGGATAAATTCTGCATTGCTTCCTGGAGTGTTCACCGAACGTTCAGTTCTCGTTGGTCAAATCACGCCCTTTGCAATAAGATAATCGAATTCATACAGCGACTTATTTCCCGTCAGCATGTGGTTTCTCGCCAAGAAACCAGGGGCTCCCGAAAGGAACTCGACCTCCTCCTCCGCAGAATGCACGGCGCGCGCGGCTTCGGCATTTATTGTTCATGAGCGCGATGCAGGCGGCTGCACCACGACGAGGGCGCGCGCGCCATGTTCTTCTTTCAGGTGACCCAGCGAAAGAAAGTAGACAGGAATGTTCTCAGTCGCTTCAGGTCATGAACATTCATGGCGCGCCCGCCATCCCCGCCCCTGATCAGAATTATTATTTGACTCGGTTTCTCTGGCGCTGCATCCTGGTTCTCGCGTTGCCAGTTTTGTGGCTGGTGATTGGGACTTCTGCTGTGAGGGGGAAGGGCCTCAACGTGCTTCACGTCGACTCGTTCCTGCTAGGCCAGATATCGCAAGGCACGCGGCGAGGCGATGTTCAACCTATGCTGAGACCATGCAAGAGGTGCCAACGCATCGCGTCGTCTTCGACGGTGGGATCTCCTCTGTCTCGCGGCTCGACCGCATCTTGTGCTGCGCGCTCGCTGCCGAGCTGCTGGACTTGCGGCCCGCCGCCATGGCGATCGGCAACGTCATGGACCGTGCCAATCTGTCGGATCATATTCCGACGTGTGTCTCTCTGGCTCCGAAGGTGCTCTCCGGGGATTCTGTACACGGGCATCCGCGTTGGATTTCGAAGCGTCCCGGGTTCCCCGCATACTGTGATTGTGCTTTCCTGGAGGCTGGCGTCCTGAGCGATGAACCCTGGGTCCGTCTTGAGGAAACTGAAGGCATTCTGTGGTCTGCGCCCAGTTCCCTCCTGCGCAAACTCGAAGCTAGGGGTGCCCACTCTGGCCCCGAGAAGATCTCGGTGCCTCGCCCTCGTGCGTGCTGTCCGCACTAGCAATGGTCTTCTGGCTTCCAGGGCTATTCGGGCTTATCCTTTTCTGGGGCAGTTCCTGGACTTCTCGAATCTGACCTGGGATGATCGCGGCGGTTTTCAGAGGCTCGTTGGCCCCCTGCAGACCTCCCGCCTACAGCGTGAACTCCGCGAGCTTGAACGCGACGAGGACACCCCTCCAGCTAAACGCCTCGGCCGACAGCGTCAACTGTATCAGTGCTGTTCTGCTTGGGCCCCTGGGCGCGGGCGCATCCGGCTTGCGGGCGTCACTGACCCCCAGGGTTCTGAGCACTCCGACCCCGAGGAAGTAGCCCGGGGATTACCTGAGCATCAGGGTTCTATTCATCACGGCCACAGGTGCTTGCCTTAGCAACTTGGTGAGCTTCGTCCGTTTGTGCAGCCAGCTCCGCCTGTCCCTGAGTGGGAACTATGTTTTGAGGAGTGACAAACATGTTCACGAAAGGCAAGGACCTCCTCCTCCTCAGGCCCAGACGGGCTTGTTTACTCTCAGTGGATAAGGTCCGGCGAAGCTGATCTCTTCTCGTTGTTCCTAGTGTACTCGGCCCTGTTCGCCAGGCTCTGCGTCGGCGAAGGTTTCAACTATGCTTACGCAGTCTTTTTGGCCAAGGGCGAGGTGCCGCCCGACGTCTTTGAGGCCTGCCGCGGTGCCGACAAAACTAGACCAATCACACGATCTGAGTCCTGTAACAAGCTTTGCTGTATCGCACTCAATCGTGTCCTAGGGTACGTCTGTCAAGCGACTTGCTGTTCTAACCCGATTGGTTTTGTTCGAGGGCGTTCGATGTTTGACGGCATGATTGGTCTAGAAGCTAGCCTGTGCCACTGCTTTTGCCAGCAGTGCCTGCCCGATTGTGGATGCGTCTTGTGCGACGTGAGAGCTGCCTTTCCCAGCCTCCTGCATGAGTTTATACATTGGATCCTAGCAACTATGGGTATCCCTCAGAGGCTTCGGTCCGCCATCCAGCTCCTGTATTCTTCGATATGAGTCAGTGCTTCCTACGACGGGGTCACGTCCTTTGGCTTTTGGGTCACCAGGGGCATCCAACCAGGCTATCCTCTCTCTGGCCCCCTCTTCGCTCACTGCCTCGACCCCATTCTGCGCGCGACGCCATCCTGACTCCCTCCTGATCATTCCCATCTTGGAGCGTTCGCAAATGATGTGGGCATTGCTGGCGGCTGTATCTGCGCTACCTTGGCGCATTGCAGCCGGCGCAGCCGGCCTGGTTCTCGAACTCGAAGGCGTCCAGATCGTGATGCCCAAGCTGCCCGTCCGCTCCTCGCCCGTCTGCAAGCTCTGGGAATTCGAGGTCGTCGCTTGATCCTTACTGATACTGGTAAGTACCTAGGGCTCTGGATCGGTCTTAACGGCTGGCATAAATCGTGGCGAGCCCCCTGTAGTAAGTGCGTCGACCGTGTCGCCCGCGCTAAGTCCCTGCACCTTTGCCTCGCGAAAAGCATTGCTCGGTGCAGCGCGTTCGATCTCAGCGCCCTCTCTCTCATTGCCCGGCTCCATTTCCCCGGCGCCGAAACCCTGAACACTGGGGGTCGCGCGCTGTAAATGCTTTCTGAGGGCCCGCGGAACGCGCATAGTAAGTCTCTTCCGTGCTGTCTCAAGTCTGTCGGTTTTCCCACCCAGGCTCGTAATCTGCACTCTGTGGCTCGGGCCTCTATGTTTCGGCTCGCCTCCCACTCGAAAGTTTTCCACGAAATGCGTGAACTCTTTGATCCGTTTAGTCCGTCGGACGATTGTGTTGTTGCTTGGAGGAGCAGGCCTATATATTTGAATTCTCGCTTTAAGACCCTCTGTGAGAATTATAATTCTCTTAGCCGTGTTCCCCGAAAGCCTGAATTCGGTCTTAAAGGTTTTCGAACGAAAGCTGAACTCAGGCTGCTCGAGCTCGCTGGAGACTCGCCCGGCCCACGATCCAGGCGCGCGCTCGTCATCGGCATCCGATCACCTTGCCTCAACGTGGCCTACTATTTAGAGTTTTCATCGCGATCGCGTGTCAGGTTCCGCCGTGTGTCTTGTCATCCGTCCTCCGTACCATATGCAACGCATGGACGACATGGAAACGATTTCGGGGCCCCACCAACGCGCGTCGGTTTCGTTCCCATCCTGAGGCCCCCGATTCGCTCTCTCACCTGCATGACTGTGAGGTCTTAATTGCCGCCATTGCTTCCCTTCTCCCTCGTTTCTCTCCTGCCCTGTCCTTTCTTGGTGGTCCCTCTCGTGCTGCTGTCTTCCCCTTGCTTCCTCTCCCGTGTGAGCAGCTTCTGTCGTATGCGCTGTCTCTTGATGCTGCATGTATCAGCTACCATAAGCATGAAGGGACCTCTCGGCTGTCGGGCGAAGAAAGGCTTCGTCGAGCGCTGAAGGCCCGTCTCTGCCAGGTCTTCAGGAAGATGCCACTTCTCGCCGAGCTGGGACATTGACCGTCGTCTCTTCTCTTCGCGTCTCGTGCTCTTGACCGCCTGCCCTTTTCTTCTCGGCCAGTGCATTCCTCCTCCTCCTCCTCCGCCTCCTCCTCCTCCTCCTCCTTCTCCTTGTCCTCCTCCTCCTCCTCCTCCTCCTCCTCCTCCTCCTCCTCCTCCTCCTCCCCGTCAACCTCCTCAGCCTTCTCTTCCTCCTCCTCCTCCTCCTCCTCCTCCCTCAACCTCCTCAGCCTTCTCCTGCTGCTGCTCCTGCTCCTGTTCCTGCTCCTGCTCCTGCTCCTCCTCCTGCTTTTTCTCCTCGTTCTCCTCGTTCTCCTCTTCTTTTTCCTCTTCCTCTTCCTCCTCCTCCTCCTCCTCCTGCTCCTGTTCCTGATCCTGCTCCTGCTCCTCCTCCTCCTCCTTTTGCTCCCCCCCCTCTCTCCCTCCTCCTCAACCTCCTCCTTCTCCTCCTCCTCCGACTCCTCCGACTGCTCCTGTTCCTGCTCCTGCTTCGGCTCCTCTTTTTCCTCCTCCTTCTCCTCGTCCTTCCTCCTCCCTCCCCCTGCATCTTCTCCCCCTCGTCTCGCGGACTCTCCTCCTCCCCCAATTCATCTCCTCCGCCAGCCGCGCTCTGTCCTCTCCCTCCCCCTCGTCCTCTCCTCCTTCGCCTTTTCCTCCTTCGCTCTCCCCCCGTCGTCCTCCCCGTCCTCCGTCCTCGTCGTCCTCTCCGATTCCCTCCGCCCTCGCCCCCCGCGCTCTCCTCCTTCGTCCTCTTCCCCCCCTGTCCGTCGGAGGAGTGCGCGGCCTGGTGGTCGTGCCGGAGTCGTGGCCGTTCCGGGCCGCGTGGCGCCCCCTCTCCCCGCCGGGCGGGGGACGGAGGGGGATGATGTTGTCGCTGCTGATGCTGCTGATGCTGGTGATGATGATGATGCGGTGATGATGATGCTGAATGTGATCCGTATTATTGTCGTTTTTTTTTCTATGGCCATTGTTATTATCATTATCAGTATCGTTATCACTGCCGTTATCATTATCATTACCCGCACCATCATCATCATCATCATCATCATCATCATCATCATCATCATCATCATCATCATCATCATCATCATCATTATCATTATCATTATCATCATCATCATCATCATCAGCATCATCCTCATTCGTATTGCTATCCGTGTCAGTATTTATAGTTTGTATTACGATCATTATTGCTCTGATTTGTCTCATTACTCTAATTTTCTTCTCCCCCTACAAGCATTATGCTTATGCTCACTATCATTCGTATTCGATGCTAGTGATGAGTGATGCT